CCACTCGCCGTTCGGCCTGGGCCCCCTCGGTCCCTCTCGCTCCGGGACTGGGCCCAGGAGTCGACCGCCTCCGAGGTGCCCCGTTTAGCGTTGACGGGGTCTCTTTTCCCTGCAGGTGACCATGGAGGTGCGGCTGGGGAACACCAGCGGGGGGGAAAAAAAAATGATCGAGGCGTCTGTGCCTGCTTAGAAGGCAAATTCATCTCCAGGAACTGATGAGCAATGTAAGTTTGACAGGCTTCTGCATTTTTTTTAAGCACTGGGGGAATCTTTGAAATCTGCTCTCTTGTCCCTCCTTTTGCAATTCACCTTCCAGCTTTTCACATATGCTCTCTCTTTTGCTTTTCAGCTGCTGAAAGGTTTTTTTTGTTTGTCAGTTTGTCACTTTCTCAGGCACTTTCATAGCCTGCACCAGCAGTGTTGTTTCTCAGCCTCATCCCGTTGAAGCAGTTTTGACTGTGGTGTTCCTAAAGTTAATTTCAGGCAAAACATTTACTATGTACGTCAGAATAGTATGTCAGACCTCAAAAGCCTGAATCCTTCTTTAATGTGTCCTTAAATGCTCATTCTTTTCTGGTGTACAGCTGTAGTTGGAAGCAGGATCTGCCGTCAGTGTGTGTGAAGGGAGAGGAGCATTGTGGACCACGCCAGAATGTGACAGGCTGGGCATGGTACTGCTGTAGGTAACACGTGAGATCCTTAGGAATCCCTTGAGCCCATGCCCAGAGCAATATTCCTCTTGACCCCAGTTCACTGCTTAGTAATTCATCTTTTAATAGGTACTACATGTAGGATGTCTTCCTAGGATTCTAAGGTGACTGTCATAGAAGACCTCTCCTCCTATTTCAGTTTGTCTTAAACCGTGACAAGAATTTTGTTCTGGGATAGCTGTTTGTATCATTTAACTGTTTGGAATACTGACTTAATCCAGCATTGCAGCTAAGTATAAGTAACTGATTTTAACTGTATTGTTTGTTTCCGCAGGTTTTAGTGCTCTATGCGTTTTGGCATATTGCCCTATATATCTGTGTTTAAAATACTCTTTATACAATTACAGTACGATACAGAACAACATTTTGAGTTCACTATTATCTTTTTTATAAGAACTGATTATGTATCCTTCTTTACTTAGTAGCCACAATGTCAAATAAGGAGGTGAAGGCAGCATTGAAGAGTGCTAGAGACGCAATACGAAATAAAGAATATAAGGAGGCCTTAAAACATTGCAAGGTAATTAATTTTTTACGTGGAAGGTGGGGTTTTTTTGCACATTTTGTTTGCTGTTCCCATATCCCTGCAGCTATATAGTATGCTGAGTGTTGAGTACCTTATTGATGTAATAGGTGAGATTCATTTTCAGATGTAACTTTATTGATCATTCATGTTAATTGCCCACATGTAAACTTTTTTCCACCTTCCTTTTGCATTTGTATGTGGTGATAAGAATATGAAGTCTAGAATGATATAGGTAAAAATCAGTTTCTAATCCGGACCTTGACAAGAGTGCTTTAGTTGCTGAGCTACAAGTGTGGTTACTAGTAGAATAATTTAGATATAAAGCATTCCTTGTCATGAAAAGCTGAAGTTACTAATCTTACCCTTTTCCTAGATTATGTAGCTTCTGATAGTACCATGTAGAATAATTCACAAAACTGTAATGATAAAACTCAGTACTTGGATCCGTAAGATGCATTTCATTCATCACTTTCACTGAAAATGTGTGTTTCTAGGCTGTCTTGAAGCAAGAAAAAAATAACTACAATGCTTGGGTATTTATTGGGCTGTCAGCCGCTGAGTTAGAGCAGCCCGATCAGGCCAAAGGAGCATATAAGAAGGCTATTGAACTTGAGCCAAACCAGTTACTGGCATGGCAGGTACGTGAATATCCAGATTCACTTTTTCTTTCCCTGAAAAGCGTCACGATGGAGTTAAGCATAGGAACAAAGCAGAGTTGAGACTTGCGTAGTGTTTTCTTGAGGCCCTTAGTTCTACTGAACCTTTAGAGTAGCTCAGGTTCATATTATTTGTGTGTCCAAAGTAAAGCTGTGGTTGGCTGCATGTGTGTAGCAGGGTGAACTTTAGTTTCAATGCATTTAAGCTTGTGTTTCCTGTGTAGACTAGATAGCAGTGAAAGATGTAAGGGAGAACATGAATTGGAACAGGTGCAATAAATCAGTCCATGCTGTGGATTTTCTGTGCTTGTAACTCAAGAAACGCCTGACAGTGCTTCTCTCACAGGAGAGAAGACATTTTATCTAGTTACTTATTTTTCTATCTTCCAGCATCCAGTGCATTGATCCTGAATTCTGTTGTTTTTACTTAAAAACCATAGTATACATTTAAAACAGCTGTGTGCTGGGCGATGTGTGCATGACAACCTGTATGTAGTTACAGCATGCAGTTGTGTTATTTGGAGACTTGTGAAGCACAGGGTTGCATATTAAGTCTGTCTCTGCCAACAACCAATATCTTTCTAACGTAGTAAGGTTCTTAGTATTTTCAACATAAATATCTTTTTAAATTATAGAAGTGCCTGATTTCAAGGTATATTGAAATTTCCACAGTTTGGCAATCAGATTCTGTCTTTTTGTTACTATACGAGACAGTGTGATACTTTGGTGTAGATGTTTTGTTGTATGACTTAGTGTGCTTTTCATTTTGTCTATTATGCAGACAAGATTATGTAATATATACAATTTTCAAATAGTTGTTGGTGTTAGTCAAGAAAGTGAGGAGAGCTTTTCATTTAAAGTAAGCAGATACAGAATGCTGTACAGAAGTATCAGTGTAGATTCTGCTCACAGGTGTCTGTGTTAACGCTTGACCTCACTGAAGGCAATGGAATAACTTTTGTAGGCAGAACTTGCAGTGTGCTCAAAACACATGATTGTTGATATAAAATCTTACTTATATTTTGTCTCTCTTTTTTTTTTTTCTTTTTAAAAGGGATTAGCAAATTTATATGAGAAATCCACCCAAACAGATGTGAAAGGAGACTTAGCAGATGTTTACCAAAAGCTTTTGGAACTCTATGAAAGGTAAAGTGTATTGAATACCGTAATTTTGTCTAAGATTTCTAGTTCAGTGAACACCATTGCTGATACACAGGATAGTCTTTCTGTTTTTTTAAGCCTTGTCATATCAGTGGGTTAGCACTTGTTAGTAAGGTTTTCTGTACCCTCATATGGTTTCTTGATCAAGGTTTCTTGATCCTGTCCCTTTTGATAGGGCAGAACCTCTTGGAGTAATTGTGCTTGAGATTTAAGATATTAAGACATAATACTTGTCATACGATTCATCTAAGTACAGTACTAAACACATCTCTCAGCTGTCACTGTAGCTGACTGGAGCGTTTGATTTGCTTCCATAATTTGAAAATTTTTGAAAAAGAAAAGTACTATCCCTTAATTTTTTCTTTTTTTTTTTACTCAATTACAGCAGCAGTTAATAAAACTTTGAGGGTTATCTGTAGCATTTATTTTAAATATTTGTTTGGCAACTGAACCAGCTAGGACATTATTTGTCAGGATTTGAAAAACATAATGCTATTTTATGGAAAACTTACCTTGTTCGCGTGGGATTTTCTTCTTTCTAGTGGTGACAAGCAGAAATGGTGTGATGTATGTAACAAGCTCGTGGAACTATATCATCAAGAAAAGAAATATTTAGAGGTAGGTTGAGTACTTTCTCTCTTCTAACAAGAAACTTCCATTTGATCCGAACTAACTACTTTTCATCAAGGAATCCCCAATTTTTTGGGCCGCAGACCACTTAAGAAGTTGTGGGCCACTACCAGGAAGAACTGATTTTAAATATCTCTTTCTTTTTCACTGCGTAAGACTTGGATGCAATCCATTAAATTGACAAAAGTTAGTAAAGAATGTTAGTATACCAGCTGAAAGGGTGGAACTTCATTCTTCTGGCTTCTTTCTAGAAGTCGAGCGTGATCCCAAATGCACATTTACATGCTGTACATGTGGGTCAGGTGTCCTTTGCCTGGCTTGGCCAGCAGTGGGTACCTCATGATCACCAGTGTGGTGATCCCTTCCTAAAGTGTCCTTGATACTTCATGCCAGAGGATACGGTGGAATTTATGCACAACCTGAACTCTATTGCCTGTAGCTTACACACTGCATTCCATGCACAACGATAAGGACACTCAGTGCTGCTCCTGGGGAACTCAAGCTTCAGCCCACCCAGCCCTCTCAAAGTCTGTTTCATTGTGACGTGCAGAAATAGTTGTGGCCCTTTGAGTTTAGCACAAGGCAGAGTTGTTAAATTCCGGAATGGTTCAACAGTAACATTGCTTATGGTCTGCGCTAATGTTACAGGATACATGTTTTGCAGTTAAGATGTTTGATGTTCTTTCATGCTTTGAAAAGGTTGCTTTCTTACAAGGTGGTGCATGGTCTTACTCCATGTCATCTTCTCCCCTCCTCCAACAACAGAAAATGAAAAAAATTACATATCATTTAGCAAGAAGCTAAATACTATTAATTAGCTCCAAACCCTCTTTCTATAACAGTTTCTAAAACTAAATTCAGTGGTAAATGTTAGAAAGTGAAAGCAGATTTGCTCTGTGTGCAACAGTAAACCACACACGAGGCTTCAGGCTCCTATTTTCTCTTTGTCAGTGGTTGATTTTTCCACACTGAAATTTCAACATGTACTGCTGCTGTTCTTCTTTTTCTGTTCGTAGGGTTGTAGATCCATCAAGGCTTCCATTTTTAATACAGAGGAGGACTGTTTAGGTCTAGTTTCACTGTTGGTTTCCTCTAGGAACCAGAGCCAGAATTGATACTCTTGATGTTGCCTCCCTTATTTACTATACCTTTGAAGGTGCCAAGTCCCACACAATGCTCTGGGACTTGTTATTGCTTTAATCAGATAGCAGGTAAATCTGGGTTGTTATTTTAAATGTTTTAAATGTTGTTACTCTGTCTACACTAGTGTGGTAGAGTTGACAGTAATGGAAAGCTTGTATCAAAACTGCAGTTCTTTAAGGAGTGACAGCACTCTTATTTGTTCCTATTGATAGGTGGCTGAAACATGGCAGAAACTAATAAAAATGAAACAGGAGGAAGGTGCGGAAAAGGCAGAGCTTCATCAGCTTTGGAAGAAGATGATCCACTTACTGAAAGGCAGCACACAGGACCAGGATAATAAGACGGAGCAGTTGGTAATGTTTCTCACATCCACACATCTAGATACATATATATTTATAGTGTAACTAGACTTCAGGGGAACCCTTAAATCCATGCAAGTGTTGTGACTGGTTGTCTCATTAATGTTCAGAGGTACTAAACTTCTCAGGAGAAGGTGGGTGATTTTCCCTGACAAAATCAGTTGAGGGTGCAGCATCCTGAGATGGGTCTTAAGTGGACTAAGGCACCTAAATCCAAGCAGTCATCCTGAACTCCATCAACTGACTCCCAAGGGCTGCACAAGTCCAGAGGTGCACAGTGATGCATTGTTCTACCTGTGCATGTTAAGAAGCCACCCTTGTAGCCCCCCCAGCTACCAAAACCTTGCCTCACAGACCCAATACAGGTGTTACTCAGAAGAAGAATCTGCCCCGTGCTTTCTTTCGTGGTGGAAGAGGTAGCTTCGCGCTGTTTTTCCATTTCTTTTTATCTGTGGCAGATCCTAGATAGCAATGTTTTGGTAAAAATTTTTTTTTTCCTGTAGAGTTTAAGTTCTCACTTAAGAGAATGTCAGCACTAATTGGAGCAAACAATGATCACAAATTATACAGATCCCCTGCTCCCTATGGCCAAAGTTGTGGGGTTTTTTGTCTTGTTTTGGAGGTGGATGTGGAGTTTGTTTGTTTGTGTCTGATTTATCTGTTCTTGCAAGATGAACCTTCAGC